GAAGAAAGTATCATGGAGACCTGGAGGGACGAATCCTTTTCTTTCCAAGAAAATGACTTTCCGGAAATTCAGCAGACGATACGGATAGGTGAAAACAAGAACACGTGCGCTGTGTGCGGGAAGATCTTCAGAGATGACTCGAACCTGAAGCGACATCAGAGAACTCACACGGGAGAAAAACCGTTCCGGTGCCTGTACTGCGGGAAGAGCTTCAGTCGGAACGCCAACCTCACTTCCCACCAGAGAACCCACACGGGAGAGAAGCCCTACCCGTGCTCGGAATGCGGCAAGACCTTCTGTGACAAATCCAGCCTTCATCGGCATGAGAGAATCCACTCCGGGGAAAGACCGTACGAGTGCTTTGAGTGTGGGAAGAGCTTTGACTTGAGCCAGTCGCTGATTAGCCACCAGAGAACCCACACTGGAGAGAGACCGTACAAATGCTCCGAGTGCGGGAAGGCATTCAATCGGAGCCAGAACCTCCTTAGCCACCGGAGAACCCACACGGGAGAGAAGCTGTACAAATGCTTGGAATGCGGGAAGAGCTTCAGCAGAAGCCAGAACCTCACGCGACACCGGAGCAGCCATACGGAGGAGAAACTGTACGAATGCTACGAGTGCGGAAAGAGCTTCCGTCTGAGCCAGTCCCTGATCAGCCATCAGAGAATCCACACCGGGGAGAAGCCCTATACGTGCTCCCAGTGTGGGAAGAGCTTCAACCGGAGTCAAAACCTTCTCAGCCATCAGAGAGTCCACACGGGAGAGAAACAGTACAAGTGCTTAGAGTGCGGGAAGAGTTTCAACTGGAGCCCGGACCTCCTTCGCCATCAGAGGATCCACACGGGAGAGCAGCCCTATCATTGCTCGAAATGCGGGGAACGCTTCAATCGGCGTGAGAACCTTATTAGGCATATGAGGATACACATGGACAAAACGACGTTGCATTGAGTATGGCCTACTCCGCAGGACCCTGATCGGCAATTATAGAGTCTACCCCACAGAGGGGGGTTGCGATTAAAAATAAATAAATAAATACACTTCAGCTGCAATACTATTTTACATTTCCCCCCCCCATTGTATTTTGCTACCCAATTGTCAGTCTATGACAGCCATTAAGAGGTTATGGTTTCAAGGAAGTCCATCATCTTCTGGGACAAATAGGAAAGCACTTTGGACACTGTTCTCCAAGATCAGAGAAGTAACAAACAAAGACTGAGACATAGTGGCTCCAGTAGCAGAAATCCAGAGATAGAGCCAGTGTAGTGGTTAATATGGGAGAACTGGGTTTGATTCTCC